ATCGTCGAGCCGTCATCGTCACCCTCGAGAACCTAGCATCCACATCTCTAGCCTTCAACGGGCAAATTGGGGAAATTCCAGGAACAAATAAGAAGAAAGGGATCAGATGACTGCTCTTTGGGAAGGAGCAAGAGGAGTTGAGAGCCTGGGGAGAGTTTTACAAGAAAAAAGAAGAAGAAAGAAAAAAGAAAAAAAAAAAAAGAGAACATAGAAAATAAAATTAATAATAGAATATTATTAGGAAAGTGTTATTGGCACTCCAAAAATCACATTCTACACTCCTCACAAGTGTATTTTTCTTTCTTATTATAAAAAGTTTGGAGTGTAGAATGAGATTTTTGAAGTGCTAATAACAATTCCCTATTATTATTTTTATTAATTTTTAATTATCAATTGTCCGGACATTTATTTTATGGGGTGGAGATGCTCTTGGGAAATCACTATTCACTTAGGGCAATTGATGCGTTACGAATGTGACACACAAATTGAACCCTATTTATGACAATTGTAGTAATGATGTAAGTAAGGATCGTTCTAACCGGGGATTAACTAGGGGTGCTAAACACTTTAAACTGACTCAAATAAATAAACCTAACCTTTAAAACACTTAACTCACTTAAAAAAAACTCAAAACAAGTTCACAAGACTCAAAATAGGCTAAAAACACTCAAAATTGCCTAAAAACACAAACTGGGCAGTTTTGAGCCTAAACACAAACTTGGACGAAAATTGGTTCTAACTTGACTCAAAACTCTTAAAAACACAATCTAAGACATATTTGAACCAATTAGACACTCTAAGACAATTGGGGATTTGGTTTTGGATGAAAATCAAACAAACAAAACAATAATGTAAACTAGGCAAATTTGGACGAATTTGAGAGTGTTTGTGACTCCAAATACTTAAAAACACAAAATAAGACAGATTATAATGACTAAGACTTAACAAAATATGGGAGAATTGTGTTTGGACGAAATTAAATTAAATGGACAGATTGTAACGAAAACAGATTGTAAAACAATTTGTGATGAACCAATGGATGATGGAATAGCTAAGGGGTTCTTCTCCACACATGAAATATATGCAACGTAAATCAATTTCCAGTTATCAATTCAATAAGTTATGAACCTCGACACTCCAAGTTAATTAGGTCCGCTTAAATTAACCTTCAGATTTCCCTAGAATCATTGAATTGGATGAATATGCATCGCAAACAAATTATTCCTAACAAGTTCTCTATATATGAACAGCATGATAAAGACACAAGTTAGAATCATTACGTTCTTTGGAAATCATAAGCATCGACAAGGCATTTGTAACTATGAAAAGCATGATACTCTTGCCAGGAATCTACTTAACATGATCGTGACTAGCGACCTTCACTACTTGCGAATATAAATTCATAACGATTAGGTGAAACAAATTTATATCCTAGCACCAAATTCAAGCATGCAAATTAAGCGTGCACTCTCAATCAACATACAAGAATAAGTTCTAAATCAAACGGTTAAGCAAATTGTATTCACGACTTATGCAACGATAACTAGAAGTAATCAACTTATTTCACATATATAATCATGGTTTCAAATACACCCTTAGCCAAAATGAATTTAGCCAATCATACTCAAAGCAAAACAAAGATTACATGAATTAGACATTGAAATATAAGATAGAATACACCTAAAATTGTTCAACAACTCAGAATGAAGAGCCAAACAATTGCGTGAAACTGTCTCCTTTCCCTTGCTGCGGCAGATTGGATGGTGATGTTTTCTGGGCTGTTTTGATGATGTAGAATGGATTTTGGGGGTGTAGAGGCACGGCAAGGGGTGTAGGTTGAGTGTGGATGAGTGTTTGATGGTTGGAAGGTGGTGGAGAACTTGGCAAAGATGGTGGAAGAAGGTGGAGTGGCTGGTTGTATTTCTAGGCTGCAGAATGGTGTTTTAGGATGTTTGGAAGGTGGTGGAAGTGAATGGACGAGTTTTGGTGGTGAATGATACCCTAGGGTTCGGCCAAGGGCTGAATATATGTGTTTTGGGAAGTTAATAACATACCTAATTAAGTTATGATTCAGATTTCCTAGTCTAAATAGAAAAGGTAAGTGAATAAAGTCCAAATAAAATCAGAAAAAGGGGATGCACAAATTTGAACAAGTAAGGAATGTCCTTGCCTTGCAAGGAATCAGAAATTAAACCCCTTGCACAGCAAGGAAATGAAATTTAAGGTAAGTTATGAAATTGGTGCAAAAGAAGGAAGGAAAAGTCAATTCCTTGCAAGAAATCAGAAATTAGGACTTTAGAGAAAGTTTTAGAACTAGGAAAGTGAATTAAACTAGGAAATAAGAAATTAAAATCTGGAAACACAAGGGAAGGTGCGGCATAAAGTTTAGGGAAAGGTAAGGCACAAAACAAGAGGTATTAGAATAAGGGAAAGGTCCTAACACATATGGAAAATAGGGAAGTTTACACAAAGAAAGGGAAACAACCTTCTTTGCACGGCAAGGAAGGGAAAATTTGCAAAGAACCTTTGTTTGTTGTCCAAGGGTGCTCGGGAGCCATCTTAAGTGCTAAAACTTAGAGCATTCTTGATTTAGGAAAGGTCAACCAAAATAGGGAATTTTGGCTTAACTTTCCTACTTCAAGTAGGAATCCTTGTCGTAGTAGGAATCCTTGCGACATCAACTCTTCAATTTCGTCCATTCCTTTTGCTCCAAGCATAAGCTATCCAATTTGTGCCCAAAAATGCTCCAAAAGGCTCCAAAATGCATCCTTTCGCCAAATACGTCTTATGAACCTGAAAACACACAAAAGAAGCTTAAAGAACTAAAATAACTAAGAACTAAAATAACTAAGAACTAATAACATAAATGCACGAAAACAAGCAAACTAAGTCGCATAAATATGCTCCTATCAGCAATTTCTATTCACTTAGGGGGATTAAATTACCTATTGCCCAAGGGACTTTTTAAGGGTGGAAGTGCTCTTATGAAGACATAAATTAATCACATCTAATAGGAGGATATGTAACTATATGCTCGCTATGACGGTTTTACCTTTGACGTTGTGAGCAGAAAAAACCACTCCAAGGAATGTGGCTCCTGTCTACCTTCCATAAGGGACCGTGGCACTTGCCTGCCCTGTACGTATTAGACTTTTCGGCCATCAATGTATCAAAGATGCTTCAGGCCATGATATTTCCTGCCACCGAGCCATACTCGCCCAATGGTGACATAAGCTAGCTCTTAGGAGTTCCCCCTTTGGTGTCTGGCGTGCTGGTACTTTTACTAACAGTGACCTTCAGAACTATGAGCTGGAATAACTGCGAAGATTAGTCTGCTCCATTACTAGCATAACAATAAGGTCTGCCTAGTATGGCCTGCAACCTTCTCTCCTAGCTACCTGTTATGGTTTAGGTCTATAAATAGCCAAGTCAAACAAGAAAAATGGATATTGCCACTTGCTACTCAAAACTATCTCAAGTTCATAGTTTCTCTCAAACCATTTTTTTGACTTAAGCATCAAGGGTCATTTCCCTCCCATTTTTCTTAGACGTTTGTCAATTAAGCTAACGGTGTTTGTTATTTTGCAAGTTTGATTTTGTCAATTTAGCCGTGTACAAAATTTACATCCACAATGGTTATTTTAACTTTTGTTCTTATACTTTTGTCCTCACCGCTAAATTAAGATCAGATGTTGAGTAACCATCATTGTTCTAAAAATTACAGCCTAGCACTGCCTAGACACCGAGCGTCTGACCACCGCCCTAATTAATCTTTAGACGTTTGAAAATTAAGAAAGGCAACCTAGACTTGCCTAGGCACCCGCCTGGCCCACCTAAACCCGCCTACGCACTCTCACTTAGACAAAAAATAGATAACTTTCATTCTGCACTTTATTTTTTTGAATAAATTGTAAGAGACTTATTGAATACTTCGATGAACACTCATTACATGCTTGTTCCCTATTTTTCAATATGTTCTAATATTTTATAATTTATATGTCACTTTGTTTTGCAATTTATATATCACAATACAATTATTATTTTTCTTAAGTATAAGTACACATTTATTTATATATTTAGTAATAAATTTAATCAAAATTAAAAGAACCGCCAAGGCCCTGCCTAGACACCTAGGCTCTAAGCTCTGCCTGCCATCCAACTAGCACCTATCGCCTTTTAGAATCATGGGTAACCGTTGAAAAATATTAGTTTTTAGGTTTATTTTTTTGTTGCAAGATGTAATCCTCAATTTGCTGCTGTCCCGACAATCTTTATTTATTTATTTTTTTTCTTGTTGATAAAAATAATGTCCATAATTTTATAACTCTTTCGTTTTTGCTTACTCTGATTTTGAGATTTTCCATGGTCTAAGATAACGGGACCCAAAAAATAAATTAATTAAAAAAATAAAAAAAAGAGCTTGGCTGTTAAAGAGATTCCGGTATCTTGGGGGATCAAGGACGTAGCAAGCAGAACTTCACATGTGACGAGAGAAAGTCATGTGCCAATCGATGAACCACCACCATTTTACAAAGGGACCCCGTCCCACGTGTAGTGGTGACCACAGCCCTTTGAATCCTTTGACCCTTTTCGTCACTCACAATTTTATTGTTCTGCACCACAAAAATTGCAGGCCTTGTGAGTTGTGAGAGGTTTCAAAGTTGAAAATTGGAACACGTTGCATGTGGGTGACCATGCATGCCATGTGATCCACATCTCTCTCTTCCTCCTGCATTATATGCAATGCAATTACGAATTCTGACATCTATGTTTAGATAATTAAGCTAGCTACAATCGCGCATGTGAGTGTCTGTTAATCATTGATGCAACTAAATTTGCATGAATGATTGTCCATAACATCAATTTTGTTGCGCATATCACTCACATGTGTCACAAAGTTAGAAATGAGACATGATGAAGACACTAATTTGGAGACAGCAAACCCCTGGCCCTTGAGGTCCTATATGCTCGGAGATCTCCAATTGTAAGCGAAATTATAGTGCAATCAAATAGTCCAAATTCATTAAAAACACATTAGGTCACACAACCTTACATATAGCATTAACAAAGCAAGAACACACGCTCTCTCTCCTTTTGGAGAGGGCTGGCTACATATCTTAGTGCACATCTACAAACAAAACCAGTTGGAACAGCAGCAAAATAGGAAAAACAATATCTCAAAAGAAAATAAAGAAAGAGCATTGGATGCCATTGTAATTAACTAGTGCAATCCAACGGCTACTTTTCTTTTTCTTTTCTTTTAAAAAAAAAAAAAAAAAAAAGAAAGAAAAATAAAAGAAAAAGACCACCCTGACAACGGCTACTTTTGGGTCATGGGGGCTAGACCTTTTTTATGGCCTAGAAAATGCTTAGTTAAAAAAGTGCTTTGTAAAAAGGTGCTTATATATATCTTGACTTGTTTGTCAAATAAGCTAGCTAGGAGTGGAGTGGAAATTTAGGCGAGAAGTGTAAGTGGCTTTTGGAGACCAATTACTGGGAATGACGTCTCTGGCAGAGAGAGTTTTTGCTGTTGAGAGAGTTGTAATCTTCACTGAGAATGGTCCATTTAGAGGACCCCCATTTATGCACCAATTAGCTCCCCAGACATGACTCATCTCGATCCACTCACTAGAACTTGCCTGCACCATTCCACCAACACAAAAATATAAATAAAATTAGTGAACTTAAAGATTCTCTAATCAGTTAGTTAACACTAAAGTATTGCTTTGTAAAATTGATCCGGGTTGAGGTACGAAATAGGATTTGTGTTATCGAGTTTAGGAGAGTAACTTACATGACAAATGCACACTTTTATTATTGCAGTATTTTTGTATCATGTAAGTCATTATTCTAATAACTAAAATATTAATTGTATGTATGAGTATCTTTCTTTTGTTGCTTTCATAAACCCTTTTGGGCACGTTTACAGTGCTTTTTATGTGAAAACATGGAATTGCACGATATTTCAAGGAAAAACTATCTTTACTTTTGTTGATTTGGCATTTTTTTTATTATCTTGTTAGCAAATGTAAATGTTAATGTAAAGTAACTAAAGTTGCAAGAGGCATGCATGCAGCATTGTAAAAGAAAAAAAAAAAAGAAGGAGAACGTACTGGTCTTATATGCATCGATCCGACGTCTCCATCTCCATCCTCAAACTCTACCAGAAGTGATAGCCAATAATTTGTTGAACCTTCATTTACATGGAAGGCTATTTGCTTCCCAGGATATTTACATGGTGTCCTGCAGTTAAAATAAATAAAATATATTATTATTATTTCAATTCGTCAAGGATATGAATTCAAAATAAAAGAATACAAAAAGGTGAAAATAACTGAGTGGTGTGTTAACTGTTTGGGTTCAGTTTTTCATAGGGTAATTAAAAGCATTCTTCATTAAACAATCATCAAAGCATATTAACGTAAGATATACAGACAAAGGAGTGACTGCATTAAAACTTTACTCGAGAAAAAACTATGTGAGAAAAACCTCGAGGAAGAAAAGAATGAAAACGACATTCGGTAGTTGCTTAAAGTCAATTGTTCCCCAAAAATCACAACCGTTGTTTGGCAAATAACTGAAAAACAGATGTAGTAGTTAATTAAAAAGTGAAAGAATGTTTCAAGATTAACTCATTTAGCTTGTTTTCTTAAAACAAAGAAAATAAAACAAAAAGGAAATAAACAAAATTAGTAATTAACCAGCAAATAGACGAGAGATTTTTCAATGTGACCGGTATACGGGGTGATATATCACGTGTTACTGTATAAATGGTGAGATATGTGTGCTAAAAGGTTAATAACTTAAAAAACGAAATTTCCCACCACTTCTATTAAAACACATGATGTACCATTTGCGTTCTGTTACAATTAAAAATTTTGTCAAATAAACAAAAGGTTCCATAAAATAAATTATAAAGGACAAAAGAGGACCGTTAAAGCAAACAAGCTAACACACGGTAAACATGACATATGAGAACGTACCGTCGGTAAAGGACAGAGAGCTCGCCTCGGTTTCTGAGCAGACCGCCATTACCGGCGACAGCCATGCGTCCAAAGGCGGCGCCACTGAGGTCGAAGTGGGTGCGCCCATTCGAGCAGTAACCACCCGGGCACTCATCCGTCACAATTATCGTGACGGCTCGTCTCGAACAGATGCTCTGGTCGAGACACTTGACTTTGTAACACGCCCCGCACCCCTCGCCGCTCTTGAACAGCACTGGGCTCACCGCCCCAACCCTCGCCCTGTACGGCTTCACGTCCACCATTGACCCGTACCCACATGCTCCGCCTACCAAAATTACGCACATGCCGACATAATTAATTCATGGATAATTAAGAATATCTGTAACATAATCTTAACAAACTATAAATCGTATCATTGTTTTCTCATTAATGTGAAATACAATATTTTTATTATTTATTTAAAAATGATATGATAATTAACTTGACTAAATCTAAAATTGCGAAAGAATATATAATACATTTGAGATGTACAAAATCTGTTGAGACTGTAGGTACAAATTATATTATAGACAGTCTATACATGCGGCATTGTAAGCTAAAGCCAAATTGGGTTTGAGGGTAGGGGCCTACCGTCGCTGCCGTCGCCTTCGGGACTGCCGTACCAGGTGGCGGTGGCTGGGAGCCAGCGGGTGTTGGCCCCGGGTTGCTGAACTTGACAAGACACAAGCAGAAGCAACGAATTCAGCACCAAAACAAGGCTGCAGCCACGGTGGAGAAGCTGCATTGTGAGCTAGGCTGCTTAATTAAGTGGCGTGTTGAGTGGCGGCGGTGGCGGGCAACAGTTCTGAGCACTGGTTTGGCTAAAAAGTGAGCACAAAGCTTTGCCGACAGTTATGTAGTTGTGTTATGTTTTTGGTATAGGTGTTGTAGTGTATATGTAGGATATATAGCACAAGCTGCACGGCTGCCACAGAAAAAGCTTCAATAATTTCACCATGACCATCTGCCCCATGTGCTGTCGTTGTATTTACACCACAAGCCACTCAAACCTGGGCCCACCGACGGTTAAGGCGTTATTTCCGGCTCTCTTTACCTTCGGTGTGTTTGTTCGGTTGTATGCATTGATGACGGAGTGACTGAATGGTAGGGGTGTTTTCGTAATTTCAAACAATTGGACCGTTAAGCTTTTCGTCCTTCTGGTAAGTTAAGGACCGCTAGTAAACAGTGTGCCGTCAAAGCACAATGTGATCTACAACGGAGTAGTGTACTATATATTTTTATACAAGTAGTAAGATACTTATATTAAAAAAATTAATAATATAAAAAATAAAAATTTCTAACACTTATATAATAACACGTAAATATATAAAAAGTCTTTAGTGTGAGTGGTTGTAAATCTCTAGGTTCAAGAAGTGTACTACTTATTATGTTACGGGCACAAGAGTGAGGCAAGGGGCAAGTTGTGCAAGAAAATAGTAGGAGGGCAAGTGTGGCCACGGAGGAGGCCGTTAGAGAAAACGCAGTGTGAACTAATGGCTGACATTTATGCGGTTTTCCCCCGGGATGTTGGCAGGTTTTGTTGACTGGTTTAACTGATTTTATCTCGAAGAGTAATGTCACATTTATTAGAGTTCCTTTCTTACGGCCATTCTATACACAGCTCGCTGATCCAAACATTTTGAGTGAACCAAGGACAAAAAGCTTATAAATTATGTTAGACATGGAAGACGCTTTCAAATAAAACCAAAATAGTATTGATCATAAAATTTAACATTACAACTTACAAGTTATAATTGTTCATGACGAGTTTATATTATGAAACATGTAGCATTATGATTTCGTTGTTAATACAAGAAAAAAAATGCTAGGAAAATCATGTTTTAGACCATTTGGGGTAGACAATATAATGTGTCGGTTGATGGTTATATTCCTTTTGTAATGATACGAAGAAAAAATCAAATCATCATCCACTACAACATGTGGTTTACAAAATATGGTTTAAGTAGATGATATCTCTAGCATCATCTTAAGAAAAAACATATTTCTCAACGTATGTAAACAATCAAGCTATCACTCAATCGCTAATATCCCATTTTGTTACTCACCATACCTTGCCCAATTCTAGATGGGTAAAACCCCATAAATGGTTGGGAAATTTTTGCGATATTGGTAGGCAGTTGGCCACCTTGCCATGAAAGAGGGGGGAATATAATGAAACTAAGCAAAGAAAGAAAACAAACGAGTATGGAGAGAACTTATGAACTACTACACTAATTGGGACAGGGGTGCGTGGTTGAAATTTAGATAATGCGATTGAAGTTCATTTATCGATGGGGAGCTGAAACATCTTGACCTAGCATCTACTTTGATTTTCTCCCTCCAAGGGATCGTATGGGAACAACACTCTGAATAAAGATTCGAACTTGAGACGTTTTTCAATTGTGAGAAGGAAAATGTTAGACAAAACCTAGGCCTCCAAAAAAAAAAGTGTCCTACAATGCATGCTAACACCCTATGTCTCGTACATGTGCTTCTTAAACGTGAAAATAAACAAAAACAAGGCAGCCTAGCGAAAATAACTGAAAATATGTGGGATAGGGTTTAGAGGCTTCAGACTGACCACAACCTCCTAGAACGAGAGTTTTAATACCATATTAGACAAACATTAGCCTCTAAAAGCTTAAACTGCCATGCTGAAACCAACAATGCACATCAAGCTAATGAAGTACTTGTACCAAAAATTATTTGGTTAATAACAAGCAAAAACCAATCTAAACAAACAAAATTGAACTCATGAGTAATAATTAAAATTATGATATTTCTTTGGCGATTACTCCTTTACTTAATCCTTTATTCCTATGGAAACATGTTATAACTTGAGAAATCACGGCCTGAAGTCACGATTTATTGGCTGTAATTTGTGTGGCCCAACATTTTTCCGGTGCACGAACAAAATTTGTGGCTTACCTATCTTAACAAGTGAGAGATTTTTCGATGTGCCGGAAACACAGTTTTGTACGCTCAGTATATAATATAAGTGGTTGGAGTTTTTTTTCCTCAAGTGTCTAATTACTTGTATTATAACACTTGATGCACCGGGACGTATTCCCGACACACTAAAAAATCTTAGCTAACAAGTTGGAGATAAGCTAGTGGATAGGCCAATAACGCATCGAACTTATATATATACTAACAAAAAAATGGGACCAAACACACATGCTAAAAGAAATCTCATTGTCTATGGACCAAACACATACTAAAAGAAATCTCATTGTCTTGTTTGGTAATGTAAATCACTAATTAAAGAGCTAGAATTACTATTTACGTTGATGCTGTTTTTTTACTCAATATATATGTATATATGCATGCGTGTAACCTCGTGGATGAAGTAGCAATTACGCATCTAATCATGTATATATAGTTATACGGTTTTTGTTTGCATGTTTATTTTCTAAGCTAGCACTTGATTCGATGCGTTTATATTTATTGATCCAAGAAACATCATCTTGAAAACAAAGAAAAATGCTGCTTAGTTGACAAATTAGAAGGAAAATCCACACCGGTTTCATACATGATCACTTGTTTAAATCATTCTGTTAAACATGTGAAGGACTCCGTCCATGTAGTTAGCTACTACTATTACTTTTATGTCGTATTAACATGCGATTAAGAATTGAATTTTGTGCGGATTACAAATTGGACGGTAAAGAGAATTTCAACTCAGGATCCCGAATTCACATAAAAATGTTCTTAACCAACTGAACTACAAACCCTTGTAAGATAAGTACAATATCAAACAACATATATATCTAGGCTTTGGAGTTGTGTTGAGAGCATTTAGATCATGATATATATTTATTGTTTCTTTCTTCAAAGTTCAAACAATAGGTAGCTAGATTATAACTATATGGTGTTATGTCAGTTACTAGTTTTAATTAACTGAAGCCAACAGCCTACGATAACTATATGGTGTCATGAGTATGAAAACTTCTTCTTGATCGCATTCAATGGACTCATTCTCCATTGAGCACCTACGTACTTATCTTAGTGTCAGTCACACCAATGACTCGAGGCCAGTCACTCTCTTTGAGAGAAGACATAGCACATACTGATCTTAACGGACTATCAATGCCCAATTGGCAATCCTATAATTAGGAATGTTTAGAATATGTGTACGAAAGTGAATGGTCTCATGAATCTAACTTCTTTATATCACATTCTTCCAATTACATATTCCTTGGACTTATTGTTCAAGCATATAACATTTATATGAGATGGCTTTAGACAATAATATTTGCCTTATATAAAACTATATTAGTTTAACATGTGAAATGTTGTAAACTATCATCATATGATTGGCTTTAGGGCACATTTCCAACAATTTTTGGCCTAATTCTTCTTTTGATGATTGATTCAACCTCTAGTTAGAAAAATATACCTTGATTATATTTCATCTCTTTAACAACTTTAGATAAGAAGCTTGTTCCGATGGAGAGAAGAACTAGCCCTCTACGTTTGAGAACTTCCATTCAAATTGACAGTTTATATGGTTTTAGTCAAATTTGCTAGTGTAGAAACAAGTAATACCCCTTTTACTAATGAGTCCCCATTAGGGTTTCCATATTATTAGCTATCTTAAAGCACGTGTACTTGAGAAATCACGATTAATAGGCCAATAATCGATTGAACTTATATATATATATACTTACCAAAAAAAAGTTGGACCAACCACACATGCTAATAGGAAGGGCCTCATTTTCTTGTTTTGTAATTTTAAATCCCTAATTAAAGAGCTAGAATTACTATTGCCGTTGATGATGTTTATTTGTCTCAATATGTGCATGCGTGTAATCTCGTGGATGAAGAAGCAATTTTGCATCTAATGATGGATATATAATTATACGGTTTTTGTTTGCATGTTTATTTTCTAAGCTAGCACTTGAATCGATGCGATTATATTTATTGATCCAAGAAACATCATCTCGAAAACAAAGAAAAATGCTGCTTAGTTGACAAAATAGAAGAAAAATCTACACCGGTTTCATACACGATCACTTGTTTAAATCATTCTGTTAAACATGTGAAGGACTCCGGCCATGTAGTTAATCAGCTACTACTATTACTTTTATGTCGTATTAACATGCGAGTAAGAATTGAATTTTGTGTTGATCATAAATCGGATGGTAAAGAGAATTTGAACTCGGGATCTCCAATTTACATAAAAATATTCATAACTAACAGAATTACAAACTCTTATAATATAAATACATTATCAACCGACATATCTATGCTTTGGATTTATGTTGAGAGCATTGAGATCATGATATATATTTGTTGTTTCTTTGTTCAAAGCTCAAATAATACGTAACTAAATTATAACTATATGATGTTATGCCAACGTCTAGTTTTAATTAACTGAAGCCAACGGCCTACAAAAATCATAGATGAGCTGAGTTGCAAAAATAAATATTCAGGACCCTACATGCACATGCATGAACACAATGAATCAAATAAGAATCCTACTGTGCGTGCGTCACGAGGATTATCATACTGCCAATGACAGTATATCAACTTGTCACATGGACCCTTTTGGCCAAAGAAATGAAAAAAAAAAAACAAAAAGAAAGGGATAATGTATTTTTTTATATATAAGATTGAGAAATAAATTTGTTGCTATTAATATTTTCGAAAAATCTATAGCATTATAGAAAAATATATGATGTCAATTAAGAGTCATTGTGTTGATACTATATCTTGTACTGATGAAATGACTTAAGCTTCTTCATTCATCGTCAATTCTTAAGGTATGTTTACTTACGAGGAATGAAATTTGAAGAAATAGGTATCATTCTTATTCATATGATTTGGGAATGAGATATCTCAAAAATCGAGGTATCACACTAATAGGGAGTTGTTTATCTCA